TCTTCCGTCCCCAAGGAAGTAAGCACAAGATCCCGACCACCCTTAGCAGGAGGCAGCTCCCCCTTCTTGGGACTCGCCGAATACCTCACGGCGTTTCGCGCTTGGTGATGTGAGAGCCTGGTCCGGTGAGACCCCGGCGTGTTCCGTCCCGGTTTTGTAGGGATGGGAGGTCAAGGGTCAAACGATTAGGGCATGCAGGATTATGAGTCCCCCCCCCCCCCCCCCCCCCCCTTGTTGGCGTTACGAAAAAGGCCTTCTCCATGGTAGAGGGCTGCGTGACCGACCTGCCTCTAGGCAAAGAGGAGGCGGGAAGCCTTCGTTGGCTGGGACACCTTGAGCACGACCACCACCCAGACGCTGTGTCTTGCCGCCTCAAGCTCAGCCTTGCCGCCGCGCCCTGCCCGGAGATGTCGGCCGTGCTCCCGTGGGACATCGCGGAGCAGGTTTGTGGACTGGCAGTAGACTGGAACGTTACGCCATGGCATATGCCGGGGAAGCTGATCATGCCTGATCCATCTCACATCTTTTCGGTTCACTGGTGCGGTCGTTTCTCTCCTCCGCTGCGGCCAGTCAACCTGACGCATTTTCGATGCTCTACAACGGTCGTTTTCTCTCATGCGCTCAACCAAACTGAAACCAAACCAGGCGCACCTGTACGTGACAAGACGTGGACACGTGTCCGCACACTGCCGACTATCGCCCGAGGAGGAGCTGCTGGTGCTGGACAAGGCTACCAAGGTCTGTGGCGAGGCGATGGAGGCTGCAGCTAAGGAGAACGCCGCGGGATCGGCAGCCCACTCGTCCATAGGAGCACAAGCGGGAAGGTATTACTGTGTATGTATTATTTTGTGATTTCTTGGGTGTGAAACTCGTCTTGCATGAGGCCACGGCGTGTAACGCGAGTGAACGGTGTATTACGTTGATCTGCGGTTCGTTAGCCTGGAGTGCATGTGCGGTTTTTGGCGGTTACGGGAGAGAGTCCTGCGGGTCCAGCTCACGCTCAAATAGGTTCTAGATATGCATATGAAAAAAAATGTGGCCATACCCCTCAAGACATGGGATGGAGGCGTCCATGCTACAGCTAGTGTTGTTATGGTTGTTGTTGTTCGAGGCAGTCGGCTCGTACTGATACAGCCGTAGTATTCCATATGAGGTGCTGTTGTGGGCTGCGGTGGAAGGTACCCAAAGCGAATGATGTGTCCGCTCCAGCAGAGGCACTAGGGCCTGTGTCCTTTGTTTAGGGTCCTCCTCCTCCTCCGATTTTGCCGATGATTAACATTGTTGCTGCTGCTCTGCTGCTGCTGCTGCTGCCGTTGATTTACACGATGCAACAACAGGTTGCTGGACTCGTTGATGGGCAAGGCTGGGCCGAAGTTCAAGCCGATCAAGCCTCGCGTGGAGATGAGCCTGGAGGCCAGTAATCGGAGAGAGCTTCTCAAGGCCCTCATCCACGCGGGGGCAGGGTCAACAACGGGAGAGGTGAGCTCAACAACAAGTGCTCACGGCTCTTGGTCGTGGTGTCTTGTTCTCATCTGCGGTCTGTGTGTGTTGTTTGTAGAGGTATGTATCGCTGCTCTTGTGGTAAAGACGGTAGCGTACCGTGCCAGGTTGGGCTCACCCCCCGCCGCAACTGTTGGCTGTATCTGTTGGAGTCTCGGGTTGGAGATAGTTCCTCGTTTCGTACGCTTGTTTCCGTGTTGTCTTGCCTGCGTTCTTGTCATCGTGGTCATCTGGTATGCTTTTCGTGTTGTTGTCCCTGGCATTACTGTTTGTTGTTCAGGTGACCGCGAGGGTCAACAGCCGCCCCCCGTTGAAGCTGCAGTCGTTCGACGGCCTGGTGGATCACTCGTGCATGGAGGACCAGGAGAAGAAGGGAGGCCTCTTCTCCAAGGTACATAACCAAAGGAAGTCATTTACCAGAATGTCGCCATGGCATGAGGAGACTGGGTTTCGCGTGGGCGTGCGAACATCATTTTTTGGCGTCAGAATGGACTTACAATAGTCCGCGTGGTATATTCTGCTTGCACACGAGTCTCTGCCATGCGCTGTGCGGCGCCTAAGGTATCATCCATTTTCCGGTTCCCCATACGACCACGAAGTATGCCACACCAGCAGACCCACTCTTGACTTGAGCGTACAACGTTCTCCAGGTCCAGTCGCCCCCAACGAAAACGCCTGACTAATCACCCGGTGCTCATGTTTATGTTTTGTTTATCTGCGAAATGCGTCACAGTCCCGCCCTCAGTTCCCCTTCCCAAGATTAAAGAAGTTCCCACCAACAAGCAAAGCCCCTCCCGGAAGTGAGAACTCATCACCAAGCTGCAGGCTTGATTGATTGTTGACGCTCGCAGCCACGACGCGTACCCGTTGCCCCCAGATGAAACACGTCATCTCAACCAGCTACAGTCCGCCGGTGGACGCCAGCGGCGCTGTCGCGCTCTTGGCTCTGGACCAGTGGCTCGAAGACGGCCTTAAGCTGGAGGAGGGAAAGTACGGCCTCGGCTTTCCCTTCATGTACTTGCTTCTCACCGGGAGTATGGGACTCAAGGTGAACCCCCCCCTGCGTGCTCACACAGCGATTGTTTTTCGTTGAGTGCCTCGGGGCGACGGTGTGGTACTACTTCTAAAGAGTGTTGAGTTTGTTAGGTTTTTTCTGGTTTGGTCTGAACTTGTAAACGTGTGGCACATGTGCTTTAGTTTTTGCTGGAACGGGGAAACATGAAACCGAACTTGGCCTATTTACATCCCTTCTGCTCACCGGGACCATGGTGAATGTTCTCTTTCATGTCCGTGATATGTACCGGTAACCTCTCTGAAGCTCCTGATGGAGGCTTTCCTCGGAGAAACGTAAAAAATGTAGCCTGCCCGCAAAACTCCCTTTGTGTATTCCCAGCCAGCCGTAAAATGTCTGTCGTACCCCCTCGAGAACGTTTCTCTCTCCGCATGAGCTATGCATCACACTGTTTGGCTGACGTTCATCTTTCACACCTTTGTCTGCTGTTATCGCTGTTGCCGCTTCCGTTGTTGTTGCTGCTGTTTGTTGTTGTTGCTACTTCTGTGGCAGGTGCTCCCCGAGGACAACACGTTCAACTGGGGAGCGGTCTTGCTGCGCCTGCTGCCTTGGGAACAGACGCAGCGCAAAGACCTTGTCATGTCGGTGCTCAGGGCCTTGGCGTACAATCCGTCTCTCGCCGTCGATGCTCCCAAGTGGCAGCCAAAGGTACCCGCGTAAAGCATGATCTTGTCATCGCGACGTTGACGAAGATATTTTTCTTGCGTCACTTCTCCAGCGCTCTGGTAGGTTGTTCAACGGTGTCGTTCTAGCGTCCTTCGCACAATGTTGAGCTGTCCTTCTGGTGCTGGAAGATGTCGGTTCGAACCCTTGCAGAAACAGAAGAAATAAACAATAGAGAAAATTGGGCATGCCCAGACACCGCCCATTTGCCCAGAATGACTAGAAGAAAACGAAACGGTTATTACTCCCACGCTCCCCTTGTTCGATAATTTCAGTCTTCGAAGGCGTGTTTCAATCCCTCTGGGCTCTATTGTCACACAAATCCAGGCTCGGTTAAGGAACACGGCGGCGGTAGCACGGTGACCTGTCCTACCTGCCTTCACTTCCCTTGAGGAATCAATCGTCCCACCGAAGGGGGTACGGGGTCCACGGCACCACCCGCCACCCTTAACGACTATTCTAAAGTCGGGTGCGCAACGCTACCCTGGCGTCGTCGCCAGACACGGTGGCGACGGCCCCACGGTAGCGTTGGCACCCGAGTGCAGCAGGGTCGTTTAGGGTGGCGGGTGGTGCCGTGGACACCGTAACCCCGCCTGTTGGACGACTCCTCAAGGCCGTTTGTGGCGGAGTGACACTTGCAAACCTTTTACGTTTGTCCTTGCTGACATGGTACCACTTACTTTCCGCCACAGGTACATTTTCCAAGCACAGTACGCTCTTACCTTGCCTATTTGTCCAAAGACATTACTCCGATGCGGGGCATCACAGAAATATCCTCTGCAGTGGCCCTACTATTTTTTTTGCTTTTTTCGAATTGCTATTTACTAATATTGGTATTTTCCTGAATCCCAAGGAACTCGAAAGGTTGCCATTGACAACGTGTTTTTTTGTCTACAAGTACGCCTTCAACAAACCTCCACTCTACGCGAGGATTTTGAACTCGCTGATGACGAAAGAAAAGTTGCTCCGCCAGTCGCAGTCCTACCTGCTTCCCGTACTAGTTCAACGCAAGACTATGTTTCTACTCTCAACGCGAGACTATATGTGCAATTGTTTCGCGTATTGTTTCACCTCCTACTCTTTGCCTTGCAGATGACCAAGGAGAAGCTGCTCCGCCAGGCGCACTCGTACCTGCTGTCGAAGCGTAGCTCCGTCATCTGGCCTCGGTCCCACCTGGTCTTCCACCCCGCCACGACGGTGTCTTGCTCGACCCTGTCGGTGTTGCAGCGGGTCGACAGGAGGTGGTTCGCGCTGAGATTGCCGGACGCGGCGATGTCCTCGCGACCGCTGGTGCCATGGGTGAGAGGGGGTACAGCAGGCAGGCGCCATAACTTTGAAGCCTCTTGTTTTTGCCTGTTTATGTCATTTTGTCTGCGGGGCATCTCGACATGGAGTACATGGGTGGCGGTGTAGTTTGTTTTTGCTGTGTTTCTCTTGTTGTTGGTGCCGTCCGGACTCTTTAGTCGTATGTGTTATTGTGTAGTTCTTCTGCTGTCTTTTTCTGAGCAACTACATGTGAACATCTCTTCGTTCAGGTCGTGCATGCTTTCAGCATCGGTGTTGTTCCTCGCTCATGCTGACGTGTTGTTCTCTTTTTTGTGTTCCTCCATGTTGCTGTTGTTTTTATTGTTGGTGCTGTCAAGACTGTTCCGTCGGAGGGCGGGCAGCTATCGCTGACCGCGGACGACTGCAAGGCGTTTTCAAGCTTCCCTCTCGCTCCCGTGGGCATCTCCTCGTACGTCCGGACCATCACCAGAAGAGACAAAGGTCAGCGCACGACGAGAGAAAACGTGTTCCGGTGATTTATGTGCTGCTGCTGGTGTGGCTCTGGTAGTTTATTTTGTTTTGTTAAATGGATGATACGGAGGTTAGGTCCTGGGGCTCCGTATATCAAACCAGGTACGAATAAGAATCCTAGTCAAGATACACGCAGAAGCAAACCACCGATGCTTGGCGTGGTTTGTCGCAATTTGAGGTGAGTGGTGTATCTGGGGATTGAACAAATACAGCATGATGTCTCGCTAGCCCTGTACATGGTGTCGCCCCTTGTGATCCTCGATGGACGCTTCGGCAGGGTCTTGCGGGGGTTTAGGCGGGTACTCAAAGATAATGAGCACTTTGCTTTGTTTTTTTCCCCAACCTCCTGTCTCGGATTGCACGTACGCTCTTTGTGGTTTTGGTGAGACAGGGCTCAGAGAGGTGGAGTCCCGGCTACCGTTTGCGGTGGAAGGGCACCCGTCGGCCAAGTCACACGTGGCGAAGGAGATGCTACGCCGCCTAAAGGAAGATGTGCAGTACTTCGCCAACGAGGTATGGAGTATGTACATATCTCTCGCCGAAGGTTGTCGATCGTCCAAGAAGCCTTTTTCCAATGTCTGTGTTTTTTTTTTGTGCTTTCGACAAAATTCCGCATTTTCCCCCAGGGCTACGGTGCACTTGAAACGCTACGACCAGTAAACAACATAATACCTTTCGAAAAAGGTGATCGACTTTGCACATATGCGAAAATTGACACATTCTCGGTATGCGGATCGATCCACGACCTCGGTGTACTCTACCTCACGTGAACTCAAACATTGGCATGGATCTTGATCTTGAAAAGACCCACGATGACCGAGGCGGCGTTGCTGTTCTGAACACATTCCACGGTAACCGTTGCAAATTTTCATTGGAGAACCAGCAGCATTTGTGACGGTCCACAATGCTGTCCTCCGCACTCCGTTGCTTGTATTTCCCGGAGTTAGACCGGTTCGAAAGACTGCTGTCCGTAGCATAACTGCACTATTACATTACGCTTGATGCGTCTTCATCCGGCCCTTGTTCGCTTGACCTTGCGCTGTCGTTTGGTTGTCCTCGCGATGCCACATAGAGCAACACCCAAACCACCCCGGAGCTGGTAGGGTTCTCCATGCAAGAGGTGGCGTCTTACGTCAGGCAGCCATCTTCAGCGCACGCCTCGGCGCAGCGGGTGAGTCCGGTTTCAATAGTCTGGGTCGTTGTTCCGCGCTCCTTGTATTGGGCAATGGGGATTATGTTCGCGCGCTCTTCTTACGCGATGTTTATGGAGCCGTGGTTGGAAGTTTTGCGCGGCCTTCGTGGTAGCAAAAAAGCCCTCAATTTGGACAATATCTTACCATGCGATCCATGATGTATGAATATCTTTCTTTGCCTCACACTTGGGATATGTGACGGGCGGTTTCACGCAACGACATCGCCATTTGTGAAAATGGTTCTAAGTGCAGCCCGAATTTCCTTCACCTGCTTTGAATTCGGACCACACGCATGGTTCTTCGACGTGGGGTCCAAGCCCTGGCCGTTGTTACACACTGCTTCCGTTGGCTGTGTTGTACGGACTTCGTGCCCGAGCTGCGTTCCCTACCTCACTGGGCGCGTGCCTTAAGAGACACGAGTAGTGAGTTGGTGCCGCTCTTGAACCTTGAACCACCTCCCAAGTATCGACCGCATACCTTTTGTGTCGAGCTATCCCTCTTGTCCTTGTCCTCACTCCAAGAACACCGGCCCCAAAGCATAGTACAAAGCAGTGTATCTTTCATGCGGGGCGAATTTATCCATGCTATGAGTTCCTTATCACCGCGTGTGGAATGTTTTTTTTTTTTTCCAGCTGGGCGGCCTGGTTGAGGGTCTACAAGCCCTGCTCCTCAAGGACAAGGCGTGGGTCAGGACAGCTCTCGGTCTTCTGAGGCGAACAGTCTCCGGGGATTGCGCCGGCGGCAGGGTGGCACCACCCGATGGGGCGGGGATAGGCGCGAACGACCAGCGGCGGCAGCTGTTGGGCTTCGACCTCGGCAGGTCCGTCGGTCTCGAGCTGGCGCCATCGATGCAGATGCTGGCCGAGCTGTCGTTGTGCTCTCAGGGAGAGGAGGTGAGGGAGTGGGCCGTCGTTTGTGAGTGAACAAGCGGCCTTGCTCGGCTTTTGAGTCTCGTGATACATAGAGTCCACGTGAGATACGGCCAGAGCCTTTGCCGTGCTCGAGGCGTGGGGAAATGTGCTCAGCGTGTGTTGATTTTGGGCAAGACGAAGGTTGAAAGTTGGGGGCTACCGGCGGTGCACATGGAAACCCGTGGTCATAGAACCGACGACGCGCGCCGCCGACCTTACCGTATAGGGAAATGGATCAACCATGGTGTAACGTTCCCGTCGCTGCTCTTGTCTCGGTACCGGGCCAGATTCTGGGGTACATCAACCCGTGGCTGACGTTGCAGAGCGCCGGAGCTTCCCGTACGGTGGCGCGCGAGGTGCTGGATGTTTTGATGGGCCTGCTGCTCGTGTCCAACCGAGTTTCACAGGCTAATCGGTGAGTACTGTACCTCGCTTCCAGGGAGTCGTGAGCTTCAGTGATGCTTTTTTGCGGGTTGTACCGCAAGGTACTCGAGTGAGGACACACATGCGAGCCGTGAGAGGCCGCTACATATCTTTGACGGGTCAGACTGCGCAGCGGTGAAGACAGCGTTTTTCGACTGAGAGGATGGTTCAAGGGAGCTTGGGACCCTGTGTGAAGTGGGTATCCGGTAGGAGTTGCAGTTGTTTCAGGCCAGTGCCGACAACAAGCGACAAGTGTTTACGCGCCCCCCCACCCCCCGACCCTGATCAGGCATCATAACCGTCCAAGGTGCCCTTTGATGAGTGCTAATTCCATGGTGCTTGATATGGACCCTGTCGCGGTCGACTCATGTTCGCGAATGGCGTGATTTTTTCCTGCATGTTTTTTTTCCTCGAGCGTTTTGACCACGGAAAACAGGTTCTTAAAATCGCAAGTATGCATAGCGGGTAAGAACATCGACCAGATATGAGCGAGATCCATGCTTTTGATGCATGTAAGCGAAGAAAGACACCACACCAGCGACACGGCTGACACTTGTACCCATCTTCGACCGGTCTCCAGGTGTGTGACGATGGCGAACAGCCTGCTATCTGCCTTGAAGGGGCTGCATGGACAAGGGGGGAGCAACCAGCTTGCCGAAAAGCACGCGCAGATCCTCACACGACGGAGCGAGGTACGCCGGTTACATGGCTATTGTTGTTATTGTTGCCTAGCCCGCCCACTTTGCGTCAATCGGTTACTCGGTTACTCCTGATGGTACTTACCGATAAATCGACCTCCTCCCCCGCGGTCTATCCGGATCATCTTGCCGAGCAATCCCAGCTCATTCAGGAACACGGTTCCCTCGTTCCTGACCAATCAATCAACTATGTCCTCAACTCTTTCCTATTCCTTGCCAGGCTCTTGCGGATGGGTTGTCGAAGGGGAGGCATTACGTCTTCCCTGACGAGCAGGGGAACACCGCTCTCGATCCCCGTTTGCTGCTGGTGGAGTTCAACTCGAGCATCTTGCTTCACCAATCGCAGGTGGATTTCTTGAAAGCATGTCTTCCCTTGGTCTTTTTGATGCGTACGCGGCGCGGACGATGAAGCTGCTTTGTTACCAAGAACCTGTCTTGTCTTCGCCCTTGGTCTATCGTCTATCGCTCATCAGCACCTGTAGCTTGCTAGGGCTGGGGGCTCTCGCGAACGACGGAAGTGATGCCGACCTAGCTCACCTCGAAGTGTGCCGTGCCGACTTTGGTGTGCCTTGTGCGAGTTATCGGCTGTGTGCTGTCGTCCTTTTGCACTTAATTTGAAAACAAGTTCCAAGTTTGTCATCGATCTCCGGCATCGGCACTTCCTTTTCCTGGGGAAACGCGTGCGTGTGTTCGAGAACAAACTTGAATTTGAAGTCGAAATCTGAAAATTTGTGTACTGCAGTGAATGTTTTCAGATACATGCAGCTGTCCGGTCCTCGTCTAGGCTGTACGTTATATTGCTTCTTTGCTTGTTCCTTGCCCTGTTTGGAAAAGGTTTCGCTGATTGGACGGTTCATGTCCAAGGCTACGGCGGGCCAGTCGATGTGCCACCAGATGATCATGGGTGCGGGGAAGACTACCGTCGTGGCGCCGACGTTGGGATTGCTTCTTGCCGATGGACGCCGCCTAGTGATGGAGGTACAGTACGGGTTATGCTCACGACTGCAACACCCATGACTGCGGTTTTCACCGCGGTTGACGTTGGGCGTAGTAGTTCGGTCACGACGGCTGTACCACAGTTCAAGAAGGAATGTGCACCGTTTTCACCGGTGTCGACGGCCAGTGTTACTGGATTGATTGATTGCGGCAAATTGCATTGATTGATTGTATCGTAGGTCAAGAATTAGTATCTGCGCTTGGTGATTGTTAGTGGTGGAGGTACGCAGACGGCTCATGTCTATCAAACACGATGCTCTACAGCGGCCGCTTGCCGATGTTGACGGCCCCCAAGTTGTTGGTGGTCTTGATCCAAGACAGTGGACACGAGGTTAGCTTGAGTGAGTGCTGCTTGATGCATCAGTTGTCCTGTCGATTGCAGGTATGGAGCATGACGACGGCACGTCGAGATGGAATTTGAAACTTGCACGATACTTGGTAAAATCGTCGGTGGCGATAGTCACCCGCGTTCGCTGTTGGGCGCAGGGTACCTGACATTTCCATGAAGCGTTTCGTGATGGAGGTATTCTGACTTTCTCTCTTTGCTAGTAGTCTGCCATGCCGTCAGCACAACTCAAGCTTTCTACTTGCGAAATCGGTGTTTCCCTCTCCAGTGCTTGATTCGGCCCTTTCGTTTTATCGTATCTGGTCAATTTTTCTGCGGCGATTTTTTTTGTCGAATCGAACGGTCAGGTGGTGCCCGACCCCCTGCTGGACTTCTGCTTCAACGTGATGAGGTCTGCCTTCAGCGTGACGCTCAACAGGCCCGTCTACGCGTTCAAGTTTGACCGCTTCATGGAGGTTACGCCCGCCATCCTAGAAAAGGTATACTGGGTATTATATGTGTAGGACGGTTACAGAAAAGAGGTGCACATGTAACACATGTATCTTCTACTCCGGAATTTGCTCAAAGTAGGTTGAATGGGTATTCGCCTTCGCCCACGGCCCCTCAATGGCACGTGATGGTTATGCTCAGACAATGCGTACCTGTTATTGTTGCCATAGCGAAGTGTTCGGCAAGCGAATCGGAGTAGCACAGAGGGATGTTTGTTCCTGAAGGGTCCGCGAGTTATGAAGACCAAGGTCTTGATATGCGAATTTACCTGGCACAACTCGTTTGCCGTTGTGGACATGTTTGTAGCTGGCGGGACATACATATGCAAACTCAGCTGTTCGTGGTGGCAACACCAGAACCACGGTGGTGTTTTTTGGAGACACCGTGCTACACACAATTACACAAGAACAGCCTTTGGTATGTCGTTGTGAACTTTGTTGAGCCCCTGCTGCTGCCATTTGTTCCCGTACGCGACTCACCGTTGCTTGTGTGCTCGGAAGTTGGAATGGAGTTGAGTTACTGTTTTGATTGAGTTTTTTTTTGTGCGTTGTTGTCGCGGTCGCCGCGACAAACAGTAGTGCGGTAGAGGTGGTGAATGCGAAGCGGAAGATCACCGAGGTGCTCACTAATGTACGTACGCAAGCGTTTGTCGCACAAAACGTCGTGTCAACCAGTCCACAATCACCATCACCATCTCTCATTTGGTGAGACGCACGCTTAAGAACCAGTACTGTTACGAGAGCAAAGAGCTTCCGTCGTCAGGAGAGAAGGAAAACCATCGTACAAGGGTATCACGCGTGTCTGCAACATTCCAATATGTATTGTATTTTCAGGTAGTGGAGGCTAGAGACCGCCGCTCCGTCATGGTGACGACGCCGACGTCCGTCAAGTCGTTCATGCTCAAGCTGGTGGAGCTGCTACATAAGCTCGACACCAGCCGCCTTGAGAGGGCCGAGATTCGGGAGGACAACAGCGGGGCTGCCGGGGGGATCCGGTACGTGACTGTCCTTGCAACCCGACACATCGACAGCATTTTACGTGCTTGTGGCATTTTGCCAACGTGAAAGCTGGGGCGGCGTTGTTTTGGTTGGCGGTGGCGTACTGGAAAATATGGAGACATCTTACGTTTGAAATCTTCATGTCGTTGCATGTGTCTATTGTCATTGTTGGCGTTCTTCTCGCTTACTTTCCTCTGCTGCTGGAGTCTAAAAACGTTTCGTGTCTTGATGGAAAACGACAAATAATAGGCGTGCGCTGGGCATGCGCCCCGGGTGGCGGAGGGCGCCGGCCAAGCTGGAACCCGTGCAGGAGTTGAGGAGGCAGGCGGAGATTGCCGTGAGGGTGCTCACGGTCTTCAGAGGCGCCGCACTGCTGCTGGACGAGGTACAGCAGTAGACCGGCAAAGTTTGACGTTTTGTCTCGCCGACCGTGATGGACTACAGACTATGCAGGGTATACCATGTTCTACTGGGAACTTTGTGTGGTTACGTTGTCCGCGTGCGGGGTGCCGAGGGAGACCAGCTTATTGATAGTCAGGTCGTGGGTCCACGCTTCGTGGATCTGTGGTACAGTATGTATCAGTGCCCAACAGAGTGATGTTTCCGCGGAGCTGATGCGGCTGGCGAGCGGCACTCTTGCCTCTCGTGCTTCAATCATACATAGTGCATCGAATAGTGCGGTACGCACGCATCTTGCAAATTTGTTCCGCCCATTTCTGAGACTGTTTGGCCTTGGTCGGCATCATCGGTTTCCTCCCACAGGTGGACCTTATCCTTCAGCCGCTCAAGAGTGAGCTCAACTGGCCCCTTGGTGTCAAGCGACCCCTAGACTTCACTCGGGCGAGGCCAGGCAGTCAGCTTGGCAACGGCCTGCGGTGGCAGGTGCCGTTCCACCTGCTGGAGGCGTTCTTTTACTACACCGAGGGGAGGATGGTGGTCGACTTGGCCTTCCAGGACAGCCGAAGGTGGGATGATAATCTTTTTTGTAGTTTACCTTTTGCGTTGTCGTTGATGATGTTACATGTAGGTTGTGTTTCACTTTGTGCGACTGTGTTTGCGTCAGTGCTGCTCACCTTGAAGTCGTCTCGGTCTGCTGGAGGCTCCCTCTTCGCTTCACCGGCCCGACTATTTAGCGATCCTGACGTTGATTCCAATGCACGCCGTCAGTACGAAGAACAAGTTTTCTCTCCTACAAGTATTCCCAAAACGTATGCACAGTCTATAATATAGTTGCACAGCAGTACTTGTTTTTCTTGAGGTTGTTTGCCTACAAGGGCATTCTCAGCTGGCCCCCTCCTGTTCATGCTGCTACATATTTCGCGGCGAGAACGATTGTCTCGGCTGTTGGTGACATTGATTTCCTGTTGATTTCGGTTCATTTTTTTCAGAGCGAAAGCGGTCCTTGAGGAGATTCGCGTCGCCATCGACGAGGGCTGTGCCGCCCGCCTGCTCCAGAAGACCCCGCACGTGGTGCTGCTGTCCAAGAAGTTCTACCACGAGAAGCTGATGCCGTTGCTGGCGCAGTGGGTGCTGCTGTGGATGCGGCAGAGACGGCTGAGAGAGGTCACCGATGAGGTATACTACGGTATTCAATGTCTTTGGCGCTGTCGAGCGGACATTTTCGAGAGGCAGTACCTCATGAAGTGGGTAAATCTTGTCACCGGATTGAGGTGCGACTAGATTTTTGGTAGAAGATTTTTTATCGCAGTTTATGGTTGAGCAGGTTTTTTGCTCTTTTGGTGCGGAATGAGGGTGGCACCACACCCGCCTTTTCCTCGCTGTTTCCCCCTCCGCTGTCGATGGCGTCTTTCTCACTGTGCTGCCCATCAGCACCGTTGATGAGGTACAAGTACCAAATAGAAGAACCCGAAGCATTTTTGAGTGAGGAGAGTATGGTTGGTTGGTGGGCCGTGCACTGGCAGGTGAAAGGCCTGCTGTTTTGTTCCTCGCCGTCCGTTTGCCACGGCAATCAATGCAGTTTTGTTTATTTTGGCGTTCTATATTTGTTTTCTGGTTGAAAGGTGGCGCTGGAGTACCTCCTCAAGGGACCCACGGCATCGGGCGAGCAGGTCAAGGCGGAGGTCAAGTCCAAGCTAAGCGATGATCACATCAAGGTACGAGGCGGGCTCGCGAGTCGTGATGAAGAAAGCACAAAGCTTATCCGGTGCTTGCGTTTAGTTGGTGCCTGTGGTTTGTGTTAATGTCCAACTCGTTTGGCCCTAGGCGCGCACCAAGGAAGGTTTTTAATGGGTGATGCGAATTTGGGTTCTCATTACATGGGGATGGGAGGTATCATGAAAGTGATTGCCCCTCTTGCGTCTTCCACTTCCCTCTTGTATCTCCTTTTTGTCTAGGTGCTATTTAGACTGACGAACGACTGGTATTGCTTACACTTTTCCCCCGTTTTTCGCCAAGCATTACATACTGCACCCCATTCCCGTTCTGCCACAGATGCTCAACCTTACGCACGACTGGTTGAGGTCCTTCCTGCCGCACGTTCTGACCAAGATCGACCGAGTCAGCTTTGGCCTTCTCACCCCGGCCGACCTCAAGAGAGCCCTAGAGGTGATTGATGATTGATGCACCTGTCGAGCGTAGATTTGGCGCTACACTATAATAGCAGTTGGCGTGACGTTGCATGCGTTCAATGTTCGGGAGACAAGACACGTTGGTAGGTTTTCTGAGATCCATTCTCGTTGGCATCAGCGTTCGCCCTAGACAAGATTTGGAGGTAATACATCCCGAGCAGTGTGGCAAAGGATACCAGTAAATTAGCGGTGAGAACTGATTCGTAGCTGGTGTCTGCGTAGGTCGATCGGTTTGGTTGCAATGGCGCATTTGAGGAGCATACTCCGCAGGCGCCAATTGATGCACCTGGAGATATTTATCGTGCAGTGTTTAACGTATTTCTCATTTATTTGGAAGGCTTGGTCGATGTTCGAGCATGATCGGGTGCGACCCGGAGGACACAAGCCACAGGGTATTCAGCTGTTTGTAGCGGGCAAAGGTGCCCAGTGCCGTGCTCCGGTTTCGCGGAAGAGGCTCCGGGACTATATTGTCTCATTGTGTCACGCTATTTTGACGCGTTGTAGAAGTACATCGCTTTTGGACTTTTTTTGTCGCCTTTTTCCTCGCTGTGCATCTCATTCGCGGACGATGCGTGTCGCTTTGACGTTCACCAGGCCGACCCGAAGATGCCCAAGTCGCGCAAGCTGCTGGCCGTTCCGTTCGTCGGCAAGGACGTGCCGTCGAGGGCGTCAGAATTCAGCCACCCGGACGTCGTCGTCGGTGAGTCAAATCGAACCGTGTTCGCGTAGTCTGTTGACGCCACCAAGAATGGGGCCTCACTTCCGGAGGTTGTCACAGTAGCTATCACACGGCCCTCGGCGTCTACCGCTGACCTCCGTGACTCCTGTTGTCTTGTCAGGGCTGACCATCCTGGCCTACCGTTACGAGGGCCTGCGCATGTCAGACTTCAGGGCCAACCTTCGGGCCCTCAAGGAAGAGATGGAAGAAGAGCAGAGCGGCCCTTACCACCTACGCCCCGCTTGCCGGACGTTGGTGCGGTGGGTCACGCTGGCAGGGGGCACCGTGAGAGGCGTGAAGCACGGGGGCGGAAAGAGCGGTGAGAAGTAACATGGTTTTGGGCCCCGTCTAACGTCAAAGCGACACGAGGCTGTTGCAGCAGCAGCCTGTAGAGCCTACACCACAAAAGATCAGCAGCCGTTTTTTGGTCCGTTTATGATCCAACAAGCCACCCAGCAAGTTCTCTTGCAACATGTTATTAAAGACACCCCCACCCACCCACCCACACACACACACACGCACACTAACTCATCCACCATTACATGCACGCAACAAACCCTTGTCATCTCTACCCCCTGCATTTAATTACCCCCGTCCCCGCTTCAACAGGCACCCCTCCACCCCCACCTCCAGAGGGGCAAGGCACCGCAGGCGCTTCTCTCATCGAGCTGGATGGCGAAGGGCACGGCGAGGGTTGGGCCGTCCCTGCGGCCGACGAAGAATCGGGCGTTTTGCGAGGGGAGTTCGAGAACCTGTGGCCGCTGCAGCTGGTGGACTTGAGGGACGAGGAGATGGTTGGGACGCTCTTCAGGCTCTTGCGGAGGTTACCGCAGGTGCGAAATCTGACTTCTCCTTTACTTAGAGTGTACCCTGATCCGATCCCGGTCCGTTGGTACATGCTGCTAGCAAGGTGGTCTCGAAGTGTTCCTCTGAACATCGATTGGTGATATATTAATTTTGGAGCTGCGTGGTGTGTCGGCGTTAGGTAATTCTGCCCCTGTGTAGGTAGGAAGCCCTCTGTTGCTCCTTGGCATATAGGTGGCGCGAGATGAGCTCACGTGGACAGCGTTAGTGTCGTCTAAAGAACGCCGAAACTGATGTCGTGCGTGTTGTCGTGTGTCCGTGATTTGCATGATGTACGCCATCTATCTACTGTAGGTGATCGACTACTACCTGGACACGTTGATCTTCCCGGAGACGATGGAGCACAGGGGGCTCAAGCTAGCCGCCAACGGCCAGGACGTGGGCGGCAACATGCTCTTCGAGGTCAAGCTAGGATTCTCCGGCACACCTTCCGACTTGCTCCCCCTCGAGCTTGGCAGGTTAGCGTTCTCGAGAGTTGGTTGCTTATCGCGTCCAGTTCTCTCGTGTGCGCGGTATTGACTTCCTTGTCGGCGTCGTTGTCACGGTCGTCGTTGTTCCCGATGCCGCTATTGTTGGTCGTGGTTGCTGTTGTTGTTGTCGATCCCGTCATGGTAGTTTCGGGGGAGGGTAGAAGTTATGTCTGTTGCTGGTGTTTCTTGAGCCGCATCCAACGTCGTGCCTACCGGCGAGTGTTGTCGAACCACACGAATAAAGCATGTCGCTGAATATTATGAAACCGCCGTGGCGTACATATACAGGATGTCATGCGGTCGAAGAACACGCTGGTCCCCCTCTGACAGTCAACCTTCCTTTCACAAAACGCACAAATGCCTCCTCTCGCAGGTGCCAGTTTGAGCTCGGAAACACGGCCATGATGGTGCACTACCTCACAGACCCCGTTGTGGCATCTCACCGCCTTCTCGGCACCGAGTGGTCCGTGACCAGGCTGTTGAGCGAGGTGGCGAGGTCCACCGATCCCCCGTTCCACGCTCTCATCGACGGCGGGGCGCTCGTGACAGGGATGACCAATCTAGAGGTCGCCAGGTGGGTGAAACCTAGGCAACTATTTAGTGCGTTCGTTGTTGGACAAGTGGGGAACACATGAAGAAGAGAGGAGGACACCAAAGGCTTGAATGTTTTGCGGTCATACGTATCGCCCAAGAGCACACCAGGACAACCGTCCCCGCTGCGACACGAGCAGGGTTCAGCCTGTGGGGCAGTTTTTATGCTGCAACTATCGCCGTATGCGCTCAACTACCCTGATGTACCTTCAAGAGTGCTTTCAGCCATTCTGCTTTCGGGCGGGTTTGGGTTTGACGGCACGCACGGTGTTAACAACTCGAACCGCAACTATTGGGTCTGATAGCTGAAACATGCATCCGTAGTTCCGATCAACGAACCTTGTCTCTCTCGCTGGCGTGACGCGGGAATACTTACGAGCAGACACCTACTGACGGTGGGTTTGGATGGGCTGGAAGGCGTCGTATACCTTGATGACGCGGATCGGAAGATGATCGTCACTCGGGCGGGCGGGATGCGACCCCTCCTGTTGGCAGATTGCCACGTGCCACCGGACCTGCGCTTCACTTTCTACGACCAGGTCCACACCACGGGTAAGCCCAAGCACAGGCTTAGAGTAAGCTGTTGCTGTCGCTGATATTGCTGCTTTGCATTCAACTGTGTTTGCTTATAAAGCGTACTTTGTAGACTCACTGATCCCGTCACAGCCTTGATCGAACGAATACGCAGCTACTACAGCACACACCTACAGCGATGCCGGGGCCTGTTCCTTAGCACCTCGTTCCGGCGGGGGCTCAATTGGCCCGTTTCAGTATCTCACCTGGCAATGGTCAACCTTTGTTGTCATTCGTCAAGTTGGGGTAGAGGTCTACGCCTTGTCACCATTGTATCCCGCCGCGGTGCTTATGTGTATCGACAACGACAACGGCAACGACAACGACAACCGCGAAGCAGCCAGCCATATAGCAACGGTCCAGCCCTAAATTTGATGCGTTTGATCGGTCGTTGCTTTGTTGTCTACCGTGTCTTGTAGGTATGGACATCAAGCAGGGTCTGTCGGCTGTTGCTGCGGTGACACTCGGCAAGGACATGACCTTCCGGGACTACGCTCAGGGGGCGTTCCGCATGAGAGGCATCGGGAAGGGACAGAAAGTCCAGGTACAGAATTAGTTTTGGTGTTCTGGCTGATGTTGCTGCTGCTGCTTTTTACCAGTTGTTGTTGGTTTTCAATGGTGGTAGCGGTGATCTTCACGTTTGTCGATATTGGCCTAGGCGTGCAGCCAGCCCCAGGTCATGCTGGAGCCCCTCCAAACAAACGTGCCTGTCAGGTAGACTAGTATGTTTAGTTCCGCCTTCCACAACTAATAACAATAGAACGTGCCAGGTGGACTAGCGGGTTAATCGCTCTCTGTTGCTTTTTCTCATTTGCTCGCTGTCTTTCATGGCTATTTACACGGCCCTTTGCAGGTGCTCGTCATCCCGGAAGTTCAGCGTCTGATCAGCAGCCAGGTGGCGGCCGGCGAGGGCGTGTCGCGCCATCAGCGAGACGTCAGGCTGCAGGTTAGTGAATGGAACAACCCGGATGCACCTTTACCTTTCGTACGCGGAAGATGGCTGCGGAGGTGCTGTTGTTTCTTGCTGCAACGTGGTGCTTCTTGTCTTGATGCAACCCACGATGCTGTCCTGTCCACGGCCATGAGCGACGAAACTGTGGACTGCAGGTGTTCCAAGCCAAACACGCTCTTGTCTCACTTGGGTTATTCGTGTTCTCTCGCCACTTGAGACTCGAACAGCTCTCGTTTTTTATCATGAATATAACCTCCAAACCCACGCCCCACTTTGGTCGCAAACCGCGCAATAGCTTAGCGCGAACGAACGACTGGATGCGTTTTTTGAGTTTCGCAGCTTTGCACTTGTCCGTCAGCGGTGTTGATTTGGTCACGCGATTGCTGTGTAGCGCGTTTGCTTCATTGTCGCTCGATTCTGCTCCAGGCACGGTGTGTCATGTACACACGCTTACGTACCTTGTTGATAATATGCATATGGTTTGGGTCTTCCGGCTCGATTTGACAAGGTCACGGAACACGTTTGTGCGCACAAGCCGGTTCACGTAACGCACACCATACAATCAAACATCGGCGCCCCCGCCTGTCGAGGTCGATGTTTGCTAATTTCGTGCTGCTTGCCGTTTGACGTTACCACTGTCTGGGTGTCCTGGAAATTGACTGCTAGGCGTACACACCGGACCAGATGGAAGCTCAAGTGCTGCGGGACATTTGCGGCTGGCTGAACATCAACTCCATGAGAGCAGAGAAGGTAATTCGGCTCGTTCTGTTTCGTTCAAAGTTGTACTTTGCCGTGAAGCCCCATCTTCCGTCAGGGGGCAAGCACTCATCGCCAAAATTAGAGTACGGCAGGCAATATTATGTCGGGGAGAGAAAATGCGTGTGGTGGGGGGTCGGTGTGCTGTATCCTTACGAAGACACAACAGAGACGGAATGTTGTAGCCCTTAGATGTCCAATTAAACGCCCGCAAGCTACAAGGGTGCCAAGACGCTTCAATGGTTACATGTGGGTTTGCTGTCTGTATGTGATATGTTCTGTACGTATGGGCCGAGCGAGCCTCGGTTAACCCTTTGGCTGACGATGAAGCAGGCGCGTGTAGCGGAAATGAGGGTTCTCTGCTATGTACAACTGTTATCGTGGTGATACCAATGTACGCTGAAGGTTGTGTGATTAATCATTTCAGCACGAAGTTATTTACACGATTTGGGTTTTATCTCCAGGTCCAGTGGAATTTGCTGATGGAGCAACAGGCATCGAACGTGTGGCGGAAGCGAGCGTTCTCTGCGATGAAGTCTGCTTTCGAGCAGTACGGGAAGGACGCCCAGGGGTCCGACAAGCTGCTGGGCTGCCTGGACACCTTCCGCGAGAGGGTGGACCACAACGTCGAGAACACCGTCCCTGTCGGATTGGTGCGTGTGGTTGTCGGAGAAAGACAATCAGAGGCAGAGGCAATAAGAGACAGACGTTTGGTCAATCGCATGACCATACTGTCCTCACTGTGATTAAGTGTATAAGTCGAGTCGGAGGAAGACATAAAAGGAGACAGAACACAATCAGAGAGAGAGGTTTGGTCAACCGCATGGCCCTTGTTGTGGATTGTGTGTGTACCGCCGTGGCCCGTTCTCGCTTCGGCGGGTTCTCTCCACCGGCGACCGTGCCATGCGGTCTTATACCGCTCTACCTGCTATTTTTCTTGCGTTGTCTCGCGTGCTCCTGTGCGCCCCAACGTTGAGGGTATCATCAACCTCGTTCGATTTTCTAGATCAGTAGGCGGAACATTTCTAAGCCTTTTGCGCAACAGATGCTAATCTGATGGTCAATGCTTCACAGCCCAACAAGGAGGATACCACCCCACCCACACCCACACCCCCACCCTCCGCAACGCCCTGTTACTCGCTAGAAATTCTCGGACGAGATAATGAGCAAGGTGACTGAAGCTGACGGGCGAGGGCTGGTGCAAGAGGGAGAGGACCGAAAGGTGATACAAGATGCACACATTGATCGGTTCTACAGCCATTGATGGCCCAGTTTTTCCATGTTATCATTTTGTCATGTTCGTGTGTTGTTGGCGCTTTTGGCTGTTGCTGCAACCGGGCTGGATGTTCTTTGCTCTGATTCGACACTCTTGAGGTGTAACTGGAACACGGTGCTGAGAGAAGTTTATGACGAGCTATCTTGATGGGTCCGATCATGAGGGTGAGAGCGTGCCGTTACCTGATCTAGCACAACGACCACAAAATAGAGACAGGGCTGTCAACTCACCATCGAGCCGTCAACTGGCATGTTTTCGTGACTTGCCACACTCTTTCCACCGCACGCCTCCTTGGTTTGGAAAACCGTCATTTGCGACGGATACCAACATACATACCGTAGGTGCTGATGGAGATCCGCCGGTTGGTTATGGAGTCTGAGGCGGCGCACCCAGCGGCAGGCCAGGGTGGCTCTGGGGGCATCACCTTCTCAGGCGGTAGCTCGATGCAGCAGGGGTCGGGCGACTCTACCCCTCGGCTGCTGAAGAGGCCGTCCATGTTGAAGAGGGCTGCTGCTGGGTAGGTTGGGGAGGATGTGGCTGTCTGAGTCTAGATATGTAGTAGACCGTGAAGTCGAAGAGACGCTCTTCGTTTGGAATGACATTGCAGAACCGACATGTGATTACAGTAGCGGATTTGATTACATATGGAGTCTGCATTTTGGAGGAACGATCAGAGCACCAGTTCGTGCATTCCGTCAGTCACGTTCGTGTTGTGTTTTTTACCTCAGTCAGGCGAGTTTGAACGGGGCTTCCCTCGCTTTGATAAGCAACCTTCACCGTTTCACTATTTTCGCATCAGCTCGTACGATTTTGCGCATGTTGTGAACTTGCTGGCTGTTTCGCGGTTGAGTGTGGCCGCAAGCGCTGCTTGACGTCGTTTTTTTCTTATTTCAAGTTTTGCGAAGAGCAACTGGTGTCTCAACAACAACAGCAATGGCGACGACGGCACCAGAATTTACAAATGCACTGCGCGTTGTCTCTTATCTCTACTGCTTGTTCAGGCCGAAGGTAGACATGGCCGAGGCAATGTTCGACTACGCCCCTCAGCACGTGGGCGACCTGGCCCTCAAGGTGGGGGACAAGGTGGAGGTGTCCAGAAAGGGGGACGACGGATGGTGGTCGGGCACCCTCAGGGGGCAACAAGGAAACTTCCCAGGTGATTTTATCAGATTGCGTCACTATCCCTTGCGTTTACCTCGCAATTTGTGTCTTGGTTTCTTGCTTGTCTACGCTTTCCTGTGATTACCCCCCTTTTTTTCGTGTGGCGAAGCGTTTGCGGATTTGGCTTCTTCTTCTGCGCTGTTTCGTGTACCATGTGTGATATCACTTCTGTTGGTTTCGGCTACCGACCCATGATTGTTCCAAACTTTTAGAACCCCACGCGTTTGTTGCGAGGTTGACACTCCAATTCTACACGTAGGGGAGTGCGGGTGCTTCTCCAATGTTCGAACACTTTTTTTATTCGTCGGATATCTAACAACGCTCAACGTTCGTGCGGGGGTTGTTGCGCTGTCCATCCCCCATGTTTTGTTCGTGTCTCGTTGCAGGCGCATACATGCGAGAGATCGCGCCTAGCGTTTCCGAAGTTTCGGAGCCTGCGTTGCCATCCTTGGGGAGGCAACTGGGGGTTTCGTATGACGAGGGAGGGGAAGGACTGGGGGACCCTTCGCAAGTGGCTCAGGTGATAAAAGTGGTTGTCGCTGCAGGAGTACGTCGAAGGCTACTGCAATACAGTAGTACAAGGCAAGACGTGGCATCTTTGACCACTAAACAGGCGGCAGGGTAGTAGGAAGAATCGCAACCTGGGGTTCGGTTCTGAGGATTGCCTATTGTAGCAAGGGTCTGGTGCACTCAAGTTGACCGCGCACAATGTCAGGCACTCTTGTCAGCACAATGCATGATTTTGGGGTTGGCATCGCCGAGTAAGTCTGCGTGTTCGTAGCCTGTCGTCCTCCCGTCGGTTTCGTGCTTCATGTGCTGCTGCTCTTTGGCTTTTACTCGACAGGAGCGCGCGTTCGAGGGGGAGCAAGTTCAGGAGCAAGAGCAAGAGCAGGAACAGGTAATGAAACATGCCACCATTTTGAAAAAGGTCCACTACCGATCTGCCTGCTAACTTTGGCGACGCACCTGGGGATGTTATTTGGCAATCCGCGTTTTGACGGGGCGTATTTTGTAAGCCAACACCATGTTCACACTGAATAGTTGCGAGGATTTACGAACACGAGCAGGAACGAAGTAGGTTGCCAGGAAATGCACGTGTGGCGATACGACTGCGGCGATCATGAGGAGTGCACGAAACGTTGCTTGCATTCCCGCACATTGTATTAAGCTCCTTTTCATACCGTTTGCATCATGTTGTGGTTGTTGGCTTTCTTTGTCGTAGTCTCCACCGCCGTACTGTAAGACCGTTCAGTTCATGCACTACCGAAACAACCATTTCCGATCAATTCGTCAACCGTTCGCTGGATGGCAGCCCTTGGAAACGTGATGTTCTCATACCCACCAATGTAGTGCTCCGTGAGTGCATGTCCTGCTTTCAGCGATAGTCGTAGGGTATGGGAGCATAGTCAAAGCGAGGTAAAAACGAGCGTTCGCCATGTGTGACGGACGATCCGATTGAAGGGGCAGCCGATACGTGAAACGATTTCAAAGGAGCTTGTACCGCGCACTTTCCATCAGAAATCATGAATCAGTTAGGGTAGGTTGTTCCACGCCCATCAGAAAGTAGCAATGATTGCTTGCCTACAGTAACAACCATGCCGTGCCGTTCTTGGACCAAATCCTTCACCCTTCCACCGACTCTCGCGGGTTACTGTACCTGTTGTTGACCGGCGGTTTCAGGAACAAGAGCAGGAGCAGGAACAGGAGAAGGAGGAGGTGGTGATGGACGACGACCCGGAGGAATACGTGCAGATGAAGTACTCGCGAGACGACGAGGTGCCGAAGGGCTGGGCTATTCGCGACCTGTCGACACCGGTGGCGTCCAAACTTGGCTTCTACCCGGCCAGCGACTTCGGCGTGCTGACGAAACTCATTCAGCAGGTGACACGGGATTTTCTGTTAAGTTTTGGTGGGTTGTTTTTCCTCGAGGAGGTTTGGTGTTGGTGTTGGCGTCTTGTTCTTAGATTTTTTGACAGCGAGAAGGGTTCCCGGTTCGACGTGTGTGTGGACCACATCACGTTCACTCCAACACGTTTTTCGTGGGGCCGTGGTTCCCTATTGACGCGGTGAACGTCCGCAACTCCGTTGTACAAAAGATCTACCCGTGTCATCAGGAGCGATGTAGACCTTGGTGTTATCTGGTTTGGTCGGTGGTTCTCACTTGCACCAAGACGTGTTGGCCTTGGTCCATGCTCAGTGGATCACGCGCCAGCCCGTTCTGGATGAAAACAAGAGTTAAACCCGCCGTGTGCCAGGGTGTTGCGAACATTGTGTATCCTTGCCGGTGCATTGTTTGGTAGTTGCGTCTGGGCATTAACCAACGCCTCTCTCTTGGCTTATTTGATACTGCTGCAGCCGAAGCACATCGTCTTCCCGAAGGCAATGCACGTGTCGCGGAACCACTACAAGCAGTCCTGGAGCTTCAAGACATTCCGCCGCATCAAGAACGTCATCGTGCTCATGGATTGGGTGCCCGACGTGACCGCACTCAAGCCGGAGCCCCCGCCTGTCGGGCGCCAGGTGAGATGTTGTCATGTTACCTCCTCCATTCGTGAACAGCCAGCGATTTGCCGCCGTTTTGATACAGAACAGGTGTGAGATTTGCCGCATATTTAATGACTTGCCTGCTCACCACCCTCGCGCATCTTCTTCGTTTTTGCCTGGAACACAAATACCGTCACACAAACGCGACCGCCGAACGGACCAAGTCCTGAGAGCATATTTTCCCTCTATACAACCATGGATCGGTGCTGCACTAGAACAAGAGTCACACCGTTGTCCGCGTGTTTCCTTCGTCCCCGGTCCCCTCTATCGTGCGCTCGTTATCGTTGCCGAATCGATATTCTTGACCTTTTCACGTGTCCATCAGGTTACCGCGGAGCAAGACCAGCTGCTGAAGAGCGCGTTTTCGCTTTTGGACTTCGACGGCGACGGCAAGCTTGGAGAGAACGAGTTCCGCACGTTGCTCAGGTATTTTCTTGCGGTGTTCTCGTTTTTTGTTACTGTTTTAATTGTTGTCGGTGGCTGTTTCACGCTTGTGGTACTGTTGATTTGTGTATCCGAGCTGTGACATCGTTGCCCAGCATCTCCACTTACTTGTCGTGGTGATTGAAGCAGTGAACGATTGCTCCCTTCTATAGTCGAAAGTGTTTACAGTATGCAAACCAAGTCCCAGGGAAATGAAAAAAGGAAGCTATTCATTGGTGTGAATTCGCTGGTCGATCTGGTGATTGCTCTAGTTCCGTGATTCACCCTGTAGGCCTTAGCCTTTCCTAAGCATGTGTCTCACGTGACACGTACTCAATACTTGTACGTTTCTCAAGTTTCCTCCCTCTTGCCTGTCAGTTGTATTTGTATGCTCGACAGCGTTTTTGTTATTTGATCCACGCCCGTTTGGCTGTCTATGAAATGCTTAAGTCCCAAATAGTGTCTCAAGCATCTTCGGATAGTTACCCTCATTGTTTGTTATCCTTTTCTTTTGTTGGCATTTCCTCGGCATACTTCATACTTGTTTTCTGCCCGCGCCGCTCGTTGGTTGGTCATGTTGACCTGCCGTTCTCGTTGTCTCTGTTCTCATTTTTTTTTTCCAGGGCTTTGGATGTGGATGTGGACAACCCCACCACCGGCCGTGCAAGCCTGGTGGCGATCGCCAAGGCTGCAGGCGTCCATAGCCCCTTCGTAACCTACCAGCAGGTAACCCCTGCGACCGGTGCCTTTGTTGTGCTTGATGGACGAAACGAAAGGAAGTGACACAATTGCGTCAGTCATCGGCTTGGAAGGATGGCGATTTTCCAAGTGGCGGACCGTTCAGGCGTTTCTTTCGAGAACGGGCAGGACGTATCATCCATCTCCCATGTTACACATACCTGTGATCTGGACTTCGCGTACCACACCCTCTTTGGCAGCATCTGCGGGAAGGGAAGGCTAGGGTTGTTGAGACCGCAGTGCAAGTGTAACGGATGGGGGCTAACCCTGCCGTCGCGTCCGGGCCCGACAGATCACGGCTGTTGTTCTTGGGTCGGTTCGTGGTACACTCGTCGTGGTACATTCGTGGTACGGTACACACCACGCACCTTTTCGGAACGTTTTTTTTTATGCACGAGCCGGGGATTACGCAGAGGGAAGGCTACACAGGATTCTTGCGTATGTATGCGAAATAATGCTACATGCATGACGTTATTGCTCCCATCTATCTGGATTTAAGTCCGGGCTTCTGTCGAAATTGTTTCTTGTTTCACCAGGTCCGCGAGCTGATGCGAACCCAGGCCTTTATCGAGGCCCAACAGGGAAGGTTTGTGGTGGCCCTATCCCTGCAGGAGGCCGAGCACCTCAGGGGCTGCCTCCACCTGTCCGGAAAGTGTACGGGGCTGGTCAGGGAGAGGCCCACCACGGCGGCGCTGAGGCTGACGGACGGAACGTGCTTGGATGCCTCATGGGGGTGAGGTTAAGATCCGCGGCAATGGCCGGCATTTTCACCCCCATGTATGCTGCTTGTTTCGTTTCAGCCGACGGTTGGATGGAGACGCAAGCAGCGATGGGCAGTGAGATGTCCCCGTCTTCCCCTACTAACCCAATCCCAACACAAAATTTTATCTGCTGCTTGCCGTCTGTGGTGTGACTTTTTCGTTTGTTTGATGTCAGGTACAACGAGCCACCGCCGTATCAGCGGAAGGTTGCGGAGGCGTGCTTCCGCTTCATGGACTCGGACGCCCGGTTCGCGGACCGGGACTTGGATATGCTGCTCAGAGGCGTTCAAGACAACGAGAAGTACGTTGGTTGTATCATACGTCTTCACCTATGAACAACCTTCTTTATTCCGACGCCTACAGCAAAAATGCCATGTTGAGTTGCGTAGCTCACGGTTGTGTTCTCACGGTTGTGTTCGTACCTTTTTTACGTTGTTTTTCCCTCAAGTTTGACGGATGCTGATGCATTTCGCACCGGAATGTTTTTTTGTTTCTATGGTTGCAGGTATCTGCGGGAAGCGTGGTTCGTTGACGTCAGGGCCTGCCGAAGAAGGCAGCAGGTGAGAAAGATTAAGATTATGGTCAAAGTGGTCAAGTGCATCGTGCTGTCAGATTAGATCCTTCTCGAAAAGATGTTTTTTTTCTGCCGCCTCCAAACCACTCGCCGTCGAAATTTCCCTGAGCAGTACCTGACAAGTTCCACCGCAGATTGGGTGCAGTGTGTGCCGGGAGGCGCGAACAATATGCACCCCTGACCTGCTACGCGTTGTCCCCTGAAGTCTGCCGACGGCTGCTCGCATGCGCGAAACATGAACAACAAGAGCCAAGAGCTTTTACGGATGGGGCTGGCGGAGAGCAGACTCCACTGCCGCCACCTTCCCTAACCTGGACCGATTTCCAACACCCTTGAACGTATCTCCCCAATCCTATCGTATCCCAAGGTGCCGGTGGAGCGAACGCCGGTGTCGCGGGTGTTCCTTGTGCCGGACGAGTTCCACCTGCTGCAGCATCGGGCAACCATCGAGGCCGTTCGCCGCCGCATCGAGGCCAAGGGGCTGCCCGTGAGGGACGCCTTCATCGCCTTCAACTCCTCCAAGACCGGCGCCCTCAGCTGCTCGGAGATGTACGGGGCGTTGGAGTGGTTGGGCATCCGGGTGTCTCCTTCTCAGGTAAGGCTGGCGGTCTTCTGTGGTGATGTTTTGTGCTGCTTGTTTTTGTATTGTTTTTGGTGCTGCTGGTGCTTCTGTTGTGGGACCTTTTCAGAGACGCGTGGAGAGTTCACGCAGCTGGATGTGTAATAGAGTGCTTGGCGCTAACACTACGTCTCATCGGCACGCCCAGCTGCAACAGAGCGGACGTTGGCGCCCCATGTTTATCGTTGAACTTCCACGCAGAATATTGAGTGGTGCTTGAGTCGCTTGAAAATTATGGCATTGCACTCAGAATTTCCATGAGTGGGGTGAGACAAGGTTTTGGAGAAATTGCGATGATGCCTCATGTTCAGCATCCTGTGCACCATAGGAGACCATGATATGATGAGTGGCGCCGCTTCCGAAAATTTCGTCTTCTTTCGGGAACGTTGTCGAACATTTTTTGACGCGATGGGTGGCACTTTTGTTTGTGTGTGCAGGTCCACGACATCGTCCGGACGGTGGACCTGGATTGCGACGGCTACGTCAGCTGGGACGAGTTCAAGCGCGCCTTCTTCGATCCGAGTAAGAGCTGGGATAGTGGATGCGTAAACTGGAATGATCACAATCCACTCTGTGGTAATTTTTCTCTTTCTCTGCAAGATGGGAATAGTAAGCTCTTTCTGTCACGGTAAAATTATGTATCGTGTATCTCTGCGCTCACTCTCGTTACTTGATGAACATTCACGCCCTCTCACAGACTGCAGTAACTGAGGTAGACCTCTCTTGTTGACTTTGAAAACCCATCTAACCCCAACATACTCCCGTAATTCCTCGAACTCAAATTATTTCCCCGCGCTGCCTTGAGAGACTCTCCCCCCCAAATGGGGTCGGTTGCAAAAGGTGTGTTTTGTTTCGTGTGGAGCACGAAGGAAAGAAACCTCGAAAACAAAGCCTTGTCAACCCGTGGCTTGCCCCTGCATTTCCAGACGCCCTCTCTACTTGCCTCGACTCCGTATTGTCCTTGCAGGCGAAGACGACGACATTCTTGGGCAACAGCTGCTGGTTGGCTCGTCGGACTGGCCTGACTTCGAGGGCGACGCCTCTTTCACGGTGCCCCCGAAAGCCATGCCGGAGCTGTACACCTTGCAGGGAGACCAGGTAACGGTTCGTACCTCTTGCTGGTTCTGTTTCTGCTGATGTTCCTCATGGACGTCGAATTTCGCGCCCAGTGACGTTTCCTCTTGGTCCGGAAGGAATGGACTGCAGTCGATGCGTGTGTGTGCCAAATCATGCCACCCGTGCATCTACCTACGAAACATATCATACGACAGGCAGGCCGAGCGAACAAGTCGGAGCGAACAAGTCGGAGCATTTGTTCGCCAGGTAGCTGCTACTACACGCATTGCTTTCATCACGTGCTCACGGCCAGTCACGTTCATCGAACTCCCCCCCCCCCCCCGACCGAAGCAAAGCATTCCACTACTGCTACGAAACGCGGTTACATGGTTATTTTGTAATTTCCCCGTGAAACATAGCGCGGCAGGTGGGTCTCACTGCCGAAGGGATTGCGCAGGAGAGGTTGGGGAGGCTTCAAAACACCTACTCGCTAGTTCCCCGCTTTGTTTACCATGTTCAAGCACAACAAGTTTTGCGGGGAGGGTTATTGATTCACTGCATCGAAGAGAACACGGTGCTAACGAGGTTGAACATACGTGACGTTTTATCGCAACAGGCGAGTCCTACGATCGAGGAGATTGCGCAGGAGAGGCTGGAGGCCTTCAAGCTCAAGGTGCAGAAACAGGAGCGCCTGGAGAGGCTGTGGACGACACACGGCTCGTCCGCGAGAGCCAAGTGCAGCGTCTGGGCGCCAATCGTCACCCTCGGCAACATCGTACAACGAAACAAGGTGGGTACCAGTAAATCTATCGAAGAAATGCAGCGAAAATGGCAATGTAGATTGTGCAGTGCCATATCGTACCACGAAACAAGGCCGGTGCAAGTACATCCTATCGAAGCACGATGGGGACGTAAAATAGTACCAGGTAGATGGTGTAACAGAAGCGATGATGACTACGACGGGGGTGTTGTTGGTGCTTGCTGATGGGCATTCTCGAGCTCGTTGGTGGGAAGGCGGGGGTTCATCGGAAGGCGCCTTTCCAGGAACGTAGCAATGATTGACCCGTGGCCGGTTGCCGCTCCCCAAATGTGTACAATCCGGTTGTGTTGCGGATACGCTAGGGTTGAACGAGGCACGAAGCAACAGCCTCTAGGAAATATGTTGATCGCAACTCAGGCGGGGCCTGCGAAACTGATCTTGCACGGTGGCTTCAATGACCCCTACTCCGCATATCCAACCTCGTTCCGCCCCGTATCCGTTATTTATTTTCCGCGTTGGCCTTTTTAGGTGCGGCTGTGCCTAGGATACTACGCTCGCGGAGGCTTTTCCGGGTGGACCAGGAAGGAGCAGGACATCGAGCCGCAGTCCGTGGAGATCACCGATACAGGGAGGTGGAGGCTTCGGCACGGCAACAAGCTGGACGTGGTGTGCCAGTCCCTCTTCCCGAGGCCGATTCGCTTTAGGGAGGTCTGGAAGCAGGTGCGTGCTCTGTTGTAATATTTTGTGCGTTTGTTCGCACGGTGATTGTTGTTGTTGTTGTTGTTGTCTTTTCGTTAATGACCGTTCCCGCCTCTCTACGTATCCAGTACCTTCATTCTTTGTCTGGGAGAGGTCTGTCTTTCTGTCTGTCTGTAGGGAGAAACTTTGTGTTTCGGGTTGGCCGCGCCGACGGCGCCGATGTGTTGGGTCCAGAGCACCCACCTGAGCATGCCGCACTTGCTTCCTAATTTTATATTGGTGCCACCTCGCCCGCAGGCTGATTCACAGTCTGCATCGCCTCTTGTTATTTATGGTGATAATGTTGTTGTCTTCACATCAATAACCACTGGTCCAACTGACTGACGCGGACGGACGCTTTCCGTGGTCACAGGCCAACTGTAACCAAAAAGGGTTCTGTACACGCTTAGAAAGAAAATGTGAGCGAACGAATTAGCACGTCTTTCTGTTTGGACCACTCCCTGTGTTTTTGATGCGTTTGACAACACACGTAAACCAAACAAGTTTGTTTGTTTTTGTTGTTCTGTTGCTCAGGCGTCCGGAGACAAAGCGCTCTTCGTCTGGCGCCCTGTCCCTCCCAGCTCGGCGTTCGTGGCTATGGGCATGGTAGTCACCACATCGGAAGAGCCCCCGTCACAGGACTCGGTGCGCTGCGTACCGAGGCGCTGGGTGATCGAGAGCACGTTCAAGCCCGTCAAGGTGGGCAACGTTGCTAGATTTGGTGTTCTGTGGCACCCACTGCTTGATGTGTGTGTTTTTTCTCATCTCGTGCTAGTATGGTAACCTTTGCCTCTCCTTGCTGTTTGGCAATTTCGCGCTACTCGGATCATTTTTTTGTGGTAGTGTTTTTCACCATGTCGATCGGTAAGATTGACGCTACGAAAAGTCTTGTCTCGCCCCCCCCCCCCCAACCCCCCCCCCCACA